AACAACACGTTTTCGTTATAAAACACCATTTAGCAGCAACCTCATCGACGCGTAAGTAATTGGGAATTTAAATGTGTTCTAAATTGGTTGCTATTTTCATATTTGTGTTTTAGCTCCTGAAGATAACATAGTTTGTCGAAAGCTCGAGATTTCAGTCAAAAGAGGCCACTACGATTCAAGTTTTCCCAATTCGCAATAAACAATTTAATATATAGGGCAAGCAGTAGTCATTGTCATTGCCAACGACCTGTTGGGCAAAAAATAAAATTAAATTGTTTACTGGGAATTGGTAAAATTTAAAGCTGAGTGAACTCTTTTGACTGAAATCTCGAGCTTGCGACAAACTATGTTGCCATCTTCAGGAGCTAAAAGACAAATATGAAAATAGCAACCAATTTAGAACAGACTTAAATTTTCAAATGACTTACTCGTCGGTGAGGTTGCTGGTGTTTAGAACGAACGCGTGGAACACTTGTTACAACTATATAAACAAAAGACCAGACACATTGGGTTTGTTGTTAACGACGGAACACATAGCCATGCACTACCACCATTTGTCAATAGCCGAACAGATTAAAAAATGCAAAAATACTCAAATTATAAAAAAAAACAGCACTTCACTTTAGAGGCAGAAAATTTCTTTTATCACCGGATACTTGTTACACGTGGTGACGGTGAATGACGCAGAAATGTGACGAGGTAGGAAGATGACAGATGTACATCATGAAAGAATGTGGAAGTGTAAAAATTATTGCCAACTTAAAATTCTCAGGTATAGTACGAGGGGCGTTCGATTTTTTTTACATGTTTCTCAAAATGCTGAATTGGTTTTATTTTGGCAGCGTATACTTTATGATGATAATGACATATATATATATATGTATACAAAGAGAAAATGATCATGCAGAGAACGGTATATAACAAAAATTAGGAAGATAATGGGCAAAATCCACAAAAAGAAGGAAAGTGGATTCGAGCAGAAAATAGGATTTCGGGCCTGATGTAGCCAACAAGCAGAAATACGTATTGCTCGGGTTACCTATCCTACTCTCTGTTCGAATCCACTTTCCTTCATTTTGCGGATTTTGCCCATTATTTTCCTATATTTTTGTTATATACCTTTGTCCGCATGATCATTTTTTCTTTATATACATATATATATATATATATATATATATATATATATATATATATATATATATATATCATATGCCCTTGGTAACTACGCAGATACTAAGTTAGCATACAATGTGGCACCAAACGCTGAGTTAGCATTAGATAACAACTTGTCGCTAATCAGTTGTTTACTTAATGTTTCTATTTCTCAATAGAATATTGTTTGTACACTATTGCTTACTGTTATTGTCTATTTTCTGCTGATGGTTAGTCAGCATATCAAATTGTATAAATTAGTCCTCCGGGTACATCTCGATGTTCAATACCCAGCTACTCCGTAAATGTCACTTCATTGTAACTTGTAATTTGTAATGGTCACAAACAGACCTCAATAAAGATTTTTTAAAAAGAGGTTTTCAAAGTAATTGATTTAACAATTTGGTGTCAGAAGAAGTATGATAGCTTCAACGCATTAGAACACGCGAACGCTCACTAGTACGGTGGATCCCTTTCCTTCGAGCTACAAAGAAGCCACGAGCCTTCACAGAAGAAGAAGGAGGGAAACCCCGGGCTACACAGCCAGCAGCAGCCACCCAACTGCGAGAGCAGCACACTTCAGAAACATCGAAGGAGATCTGCTGGACTGGCTCTTGGAGAACACGACTGCCTCCAGATGTACCCCTGGTAACGTACAAATTTAATTAATCTAACTATTGCGATTTATCTCTGTGAAAGTGGGTTTTTATTGTTTATTTTTGCATTTTGCGTAACAATTTTGATTATCCTATAGATTTTTACGGATTTTCCCAATTTTCTACGCATTTTTGTGAATTTTGATTCTTTGAATATTTTAATTTGTGTACCCGAGAAACGACTTTCCACTGAAAATGGCTAGCAGTAACGTTTCTGATGATTACCAACAAACGGAAGTTCCTGAAAACTCTCATACGATCGAGCCTTATAAACTTTCAGAAATTTTTTCTATCGTACCTGAATACGATGGTAATCCTATTGTTTTATCTACTTTTATTAATGCATGTCGAACTGCGTATCAAATGACAGTAGAGGAGCAGCGGTTTCTGGTAATACTGTACATAAAAAACAAATTGCGTGGACGAGCCGCCGAACTCGTCAATTCTAGGAACTCATCGACACGGCAAGATATTAAATCCCTATTAGAAACCCATTTAGAAGATTTTCGAAATTTCATCTCCTTGATTGCTGATTTGTAAAATTGACGTCAACTTCCAAACGAGCTCCACTAACTTTTGCGTCAAGGCTGCAAACCCAAGCCACTAAGATGTACTCTGCGGTCAATCGACAAAACTTAAATAGGGAACAAAAAGCTGCCCAAAGGTCATTGATTGAAACTATGACCCTAAATTGCCTCCTTACAGGCTTAGATTCTAAAATTGAACCAGTGGTCAGATCTGGTCACTCTTCCGACATCCTTAGAGCCGTTTCATTCATAAAGCGACAATTACAATTGTCTTATTTGAAACGTCAAAAATTTTCTAGGGTTTCAAACCCTAACCAAAATTATTCTCCCCTTCGGAAACCAACTCCGAAAATTTGCAGTTTCTGCCATAGACCTGGGCATTTAGCCAACGAATGCCAACGCAGGCAATATTCCATGAATAATTCACCTAGACCATTTTATCGACCACAACAATTTTTCCAAAATAATTCTAGGCCTACTGCGCCTATGCCAAGTAACAGACCTGGCAATTCCAACCAATATCCCTCAAGACCGTCTGTCATTAGATCAGAAATACTCCCAGACCTTCTGTTATTCAACAGAACCCTAATTTTAAAAATCTCCAAAGTTTTCGTCCCAACCATCCTCCGAGTCGAATTAATTATGTTGCATCTGATTGCCACGAATACTCCGATTATGACGACCAAGATTTGTACAACACTGATTATGTGAACGAAGGTAATTCACAGTATTCCGCCTACACACCTTCTCCGTATAACGAATATCTCAGTAACAATGACTATTGTTATGATTATGACCCAACGACATACGATCGGAATCAGCAGTATCAGGATTTTCAAGAGCGAGATATCAAAGCCAAGCCACCTACAGATCACGACGACAATTCAGATAATACCTATGTGCGTGTATCAGCAGTGTCAGCAAGTACGACCAAAAGTTCCTACTGTAAATCCTTCCGTTATGGTCCCGTCGACTATTCTCTCCCTTAGTACAGGCAATTTGTATTACATTAAAGATGGTACAGGAAAATTCAAAATTTTTATTGATAGTAGTGCCGGTTGTTCCATTTTTAAGCATGCTACCTGTGAAAATTATAACAAACGAGTTCCTGAGGATATCACTATTCGAGGTATTACTGACAAAAAAAATTCGATAACAGAAGCTGTGCTAATTCCTTTTTCTGACGATGATTTCCATAAAGTTTACATTTATGATTTAGACATTACATTAAATGATCTTTTAGGATCAGACTTTCTTGAACACTACGATTGCATTGTCGATCTCAAAAATCGTCAATTAATAACAAATTTTAAAACTGTACCTCTTATTAAACTAGGTGACGAGAATAATCCTAGTCTAAATAAGTAAAAACACTGAAGCCATTCTTCTGGCATGCGAGGTAGAAAAAGTCCGTCTACCCAGTTCAATTGTAAAAATTAAATTCCCAAGGCGAATTTTTTACTATAGTCTTGAACTGTAACGTCATCCAAAAAAACGCCACTTTGCCCAAATTAGAATTTGAACCCTTCAACGAAATTTCTGTTCATAATCTCAATGAACATTTATATTATGAAAGTCAGTACAACCATAGAGATACGATCAAAGAGCAGCACGTCTCGGTCATCTCAACGAAGAAGAACAAGAACTTATCACTAACTTGTGTCTAGAATTCTCAGACATTTTTTATTGTCCATAAACAGGAAGTCAAAGACTGGATTTGGAAACTATTAAAGCAAGGCATAATAGAACATTCGACAAGTCCTTGGTCAGCACCTCTTTAGGTAGTCCCAAAAAAGATTGATGCATCAGGCGTATGGTAATTGATTATCGTAAACTTAACGAAATCACCATAGACCACAAGTACCCATTGCCAAATACTTCTGATCTGCTTGATCAGCTAGGAAAATGTCAGTTCGTCAGTACATTAGACAATTACATTAGCATCTGGATTTTATCAGATTGAGATCAATCCAGCTGACATCCCTAAAACAGGCTCCTCAGTTGAAAATTAACCATTTCTTAAAAATGCCCCTGCCACGTTTCAGCATGTCATGGACAACATTTTAATGGGTATCCAAAACGAAAGATGTCTCGTATACATGGATGACATCATTGTTTATTCCCCCTCCGTCCTAGAACATGTTACAAGAGTTACCGAAATTTTGAATCGTCTTCGAAAGTCAAATTTTAAAATTCAACCAGATAAATGCGAATTCCTTAGGAAGGAAGTAGCTTATCTTGGACACGTCATTACCACCGATGGTGTTAAGCCCAATCCAGAATAAGTGGATTGTATAAAAAAGTTTCCCCAACCAACAAATCCCAAAGAAATAAAATCATTTTTAGGTTTAGCCGGTTATTACCGACGCCGACGGTTCATTCCGAATTTTGCAAAAATTGCGAAACCCCTGACTAGACTATTACAGAAAAACGCAACGTTTGACTTAGATAAAGCGCTGGTGGGGGTGAACAAGGTGATAAGTCAAAATCACATATTTCGAGAAAACTCAATCTAAAGAAATGTGTCAATTGAATTGTTCATTTTAGATTACTTTAACTTTTCTGACGGAAACTTATTTGTAAGTTATTGTGACTGTATTAAACGTAAAATTTATGCCAAAGTGATGTAATTAATAATTCTGGAAAAGTGAGTTTTGATAGACTTACCTCTTTTTTGACAGCAAGTGTTTGACAGGTATCCTTCTGTACTATACAGAACGTGAAGGAAAATAAAGTGGACCTGCTTCTTAAATATATTCCATTCACAAAAGGTTTACAAATAGACAAAAATATATTATAGCAAATATTCTTTGTCTGAGGAAGCGTCTGGAAAGACATCAGTTTGATCGCTAACAGTCTTTAAATTTTTATAAAAATCCCAATGTCCTTCTGAAATATAAGGAAGTAGGTCAATCTGATGTTTCTTTTCTACAAATATTGGCACAGGTTTGTTGTATATGTTCTCTGGATTCAGCATCACTTCTTGCTTTGATCGTTCCTTTTTTTAGGTTAAGAGTCTTAAAATCCTCAGTCTCACTTAGAGTGTTTTGTATAGCAATGTTCTGTTACCTTTTACGTATCGGATCCATCTCACTTCTCTCCAGTTAAATTTGCTGCCTATTCTATTCTGTTTTCTGTTTACTAATGACTTGGAATATAATTCAGCAACATAAAAAAATTGTGATTGTTCCATTTCATGTACCACAAAAGGTTTCTTCTGACCTACTAGGGGTATGAGTTGAGCTAAGTCATGAGGATGTTCAATTTTAAAATCGATTTTTCTCTTTCTCTTCTCAATTACGCTGTGTTCTGGGTCAGCCTCCATATGTGTAAGGCCAAGTAACAAAAACTTAATGGTCAATGACAAGCAGCAGAAATATATCTGTTCTTATTCTGGCCACCGCATGAATCAGAGTACCTAACAATGTGAGAAACTGAAGTATTGAGATTCAGTCATGAACTGTGAGATTGTAAGTCCACAGTTCACGGTTATAATATGCTTCTCCACTTTTTATGTCTGTTTTTTTTCAGACACTGCTGTGAATCGAAGCAGATAGTTTTCATTGTAGGCTTAGGGCTCTTGCACACGAACGTGCGATCCGCCGACCGGCTGTTCCACCGACCGGCAAGAAAATCGGAAGATGTTATTTTACCCACATTCGAATACAACTTAACACACTTGCCGGTAGCGGCTAGTCTGCCGACCGGCCGCCGTTCATATTAAAATTTGGACGGCGAACACACGGCTGCCGGTTGGTAAATTAACCGGCGCGTTCATTTCAATGCATGCAAGTTTATGCCTGTTGACACACGAACGGGGATTCTACTGTCGCCGTGGTACAGAGTCGTAGTTTCATTTCCGTTTAGACAGTGTAGTCATGAGGTGCGAAATGGAAAATTTAGATATTGAGGCATTTATTTCTATGGTGGAAGAAAGGCCCGTGATATGGGACAAGACAAGAGAGGATTTTAAGGATAGGAATAAAACTAAAGCCGCCTGTAAGAAATCATCGATACATTTATTTATGAAAACCTGAACGAAGCAGAAAAAGGCGAAATAGGTATGTAACTATGTAAGATAAGAAACAATATGAACTATATTTTACTTAATTGCCACGGTACAGATCCTTCATTACTATTGAAATATTTTGTGAAATGGTCCCGTATATCTTTCCCGCTTCTTGATCCTCGCAAATTTCGCTCTGTTGGTATGTCTTCGAGGTTTATGATTTCTAAGACATCGCCGATATTAAAACCATCTCGCATTCGTACTAAATTATGCAAGATACAACATGCTTTAACAATGTCAATGGCGAATTCGGAATATACGTTTATAGGTCGATGAAAGATTCTCCATTTGTTGCTAAAAATACCGAATCCACATTCAACATAACGCCTGACACGTGATAAACGGTAATTAAATACACGTTGTTGCTGTGTCAAATGTTGCAACAGACATCCTAAAGTAATTGAAAAATTTTGCTTCATGCTCTCGTAGTCTTGTAAACAAGGTATAAAATGATCCTACTGCACTTCTTTCAGCTACCAGTGGATGAATCCATAATTTTCTTGCTAAAGCTTTCTTGTATTTTCTTTGTCTATACAATAAACACACAAGCGCGATCTTCTTTTCACGTTTCATGTTTGACAATGCACGAAACGAAAATAGCCAAGCTCTTTCTACGTCGGATGACAGTACAGCACTGGCCTTCATGCAGAAGGCAAAGTAAACGGCACGTAACCGGCCGATCGCTTATCGTGTGTAAGATAATCCCGATTTCTTTGCCGGGCGGAGAAACAACCGGTCGGCGGAATGATCGGTCGTGTGCAAGAGGCCTTAGAGGAGTGTTTATCATCCCGTTTAGCATTCTATCCTTCATCAGCTCGTTGATTATGCTTAGTCAAATATTGTTCCATTTTGGCATTATCTTCTTCTGATTTGGCTATTTTTAATTGCATTTGGAGTTTGTCGCAAGTGCATCAAGAATCTTTTTTTGTTGTCTATTTATCTCCATAGAGCACGCCACGTAACTATTATAATTCTGTGAACAAGGCGATGATATGACTTGACTTCCTTTACACTGGATAATTCTACAATTTTACCGACATAGCTCTTTAGAGAATTAGCTATATCTTAAAATTATGACTTATCTCCGTTTTCACCCCCTTCGGCGAAAGATTGCTTGCAGTCATTCGATAGTCTGAAAAATGCTCGTATTACATCTCCCATTTTAATTTATCCCAACTTCGAAGAACCGTTTGTGCTTACTACAGATCAAAGCGCATTTGCTATATCTGGCGTCTTATCTCAAGGACCCATAGAAAAAGATTTACCTACGCCTACGCATCTCGTACACTTTGTAAATCTGAAACGAGATCCTCCACAATCGAACGTGAATTGTTGGCTATTGTATGGTCAGTAAAACATTTTAGGCCTTATTTGTATGGTCGAAAATTTAAACTCATCACGGACCATAGACCATTAACTTGTTTTTTTTCTTGCCGAGATACCGGCAGCAAGTTAGCAAGATGGCGGCGCCTCAAACTAGAGGAGTATGACTATGCAGTAGTCTACAAGCCAGGCAAGACTAATAAAAATGCCGATGCCGTTTCACGCATAAAAGTACCCACCAGTATTTATGCCTTTACCGAAGATGATGACGAAGGAGAACCTTCCTCTCAATTTTCTGAATCCAAATTTGACATTTTTGCCCGCCTTTATGAGACCACATCTCTGATTGAGTATTCAAAAATTCAATTTTCCAATTCCCAGCTTTTCTACAAGAGCCATAAGCATGTGGTTACATTCTTTAGGTAAAATACTTTTTCTGATCTTCATGAAAAGATCACAGAAGATATATTTGAGGAAAACCTTGAGTTTTCTGCTGACAAAATTAATATTGCATCAAGAAAAACTGTTAAAGCTAGAAAATATTTTATCATTCCCGTACCGTACGGCCTTAGGACTTGCATTCAGCATGTTTTCACTGTTGTTTTGAATAACAAAAATGTCTTTGATTTGCCTCAGCAAATCTATGTTGAAAACAATGTAAACGTTCTGGACATATTTCCCTCCATATTTTCCGAAGACAATATTAAGCTGGTTATTTGCCAAAATATTACCAAAACCCCCATTTCAGATGAAAATCCCGTAATTTTAGATCAGTATCATTCTGGAAAGAAAAATATCCTTCAGAGGCATTAATGAAACTATAAGACGAATCCGAGAACCGTTACAATTGGCCTGCTCTAACAAAAGATGTCGAACATTTTATTAAAAAATGCGATTTCTGTCAAAAAGCTAAAATTTGTCGAAACAACCTCAGCACTCCTTTATTTGTTACCGAAACTCCTACAGCCCCATTCGAACGCGTCAACATCGACATTCTAGAAGTTCCTCCTAAATGTTATGCTCTCACAATAAATGATGAGCTTTCGAAATTTTCCCAAGCTTATCCCATTGGTGATAAGCCTGCCAAATCTGTGGTTAATACCCTTTTGTTTTATTTCCAACACTATGGTAGCCCTCTTCGTATTCATTGCGACCAGGGTAAAGAATTTGATAATGACCTCATGAAAGATCTTTGCAATCTTTTCGATATAAAATTAACATTTTCTAGCGTCAGTCATCCGCAGTCTAATAGATCGATTGAACGTTTCCATGCCACTCTATTAGAAATGATTAGGTCACATGTATCCGAACACCCCTGTAATATTTTGCCATATGCTGTTCAGTGTTACAACAGCACTAGAGGTAAAACTACATGTTTTACTCCCTATGAATTAGTTTTTGGACACACTCCTGGTCGCCCATCCGAACATGCCTATTTAGAAAAAAAAATAATGTCTAAGTATGTTCGAGACCTTAGGAACAAACATGAATATTACCTACTATAAAATTGCACGTGTTCGAACAGATGAACAAAAGCAGAAAGCCAAAGTCCGTTTCGATAGTAGAATTTGCAAAAATACAAAATTGGTGACAAGGTATTTGTTAAGCAGTTCCAAATCTCAAATAAACCCCAAAACAAATTCGATATTCCATTCGAAGTCACTCAAGTTTTTGAAAATTCTGCGCCCCTTAAGAACCCAGAAACTGATAAAATTACAAAAGTAAATTTCGACAGACTGAAACCTTGTTTTGAGACTTAAATCCTCTTTCAGGTTCAGTCTGCTGATTCTCGCGGCAGTTTCCGCATAGATATACACCAAGCCCGTAAACAATACCTTAGATCTTAGGTATTTACTTTCATGAAGATTCCCCACTCAAAATCTCTAACGAAGTAGTTTTCACACAGATGGACATCAAGCCCGTAAACAATACCTTAGGTGCTTACTTTCATGAAGATGCCCCACTCAAAATCTCTAACGAGGAATGGACACTCTTAGTTTACAAACCTCGAGCTCATCAGGAAATCCTTGAATAATAATAATTATATTTTACGACATTTATTTTCTCTTGTTGATGAAAAAACCAACCAGATGCGATTTTTCAAAGCCGAAATTAAAACGCATGTCAGTCTCCTTTACCAAATTCCCATTCTTTGGAAACGAAATATCATGAAATCTTTGATGACACAATCAGCGCTTCACGAATGAAACGCGGCCTCATCAATGGCTTAGGAACCATATGGAAAGCAATAACTGGAAATCTAGATTCATCAGATGGTGAATTCTACAATGACTGCATTAATAAAATTTTAAAGGATGAACATGAACTCGAAAATCACATGAAAAATCAAATATCAGTGACCATGTCAGTTATTAAGAACTTCAACAATACTATCCGAAAATTGCAAGTAGAGGAAGCTACACATAATGAAATAAAAATTATTCAAGATATGTTACTCGAAGAAACAATTAATGGCATTCTGAATGCCAAAACATTTGCTCTGAATATTCACCCATCCATTATTACCCCTATAGACTTACCCTTCAGGAAATTTCACATACTTTGTCTAAAAGCAATTTGCCACTTTCAGTCAATTTGGCAACAGTGTCCGAATATCTCAACCTTGTGGAACTTGAAGCTTATCAAACTAAAGCAAAAGTAGTTTTTCTCTTGCTCATTCCTTTATTGGAACCAGAAAGTTATACTCTGTATAAAGTTATCTCTTTGCCTATTCCAGACAATCGCACAGGGTTATTCCATTTCATGCTACTTTGCAGAGATACGTTGCTAAGGATAGCGATTCATTATTTTACGTATCCTTCCTTTGAACAGCTGTAAAATCCTCTCCAGTCAATTCAAGATTTGTTTCAATCTTTTGCCGTACCCTTTAGATAACAACGCAGTATGTGAAGCACAGTTATTGAGAAACCCTGTCAATTTGCCGACAGCATATCAAATAGCAATTGCGAACTTGCAAGATTATAAAATCCAAGAACTTGGAAGCAATTTTTGGCTGATAACAGTGTTTAGCCCTTTACGTATTACAATGAAATGTGGACAAAGAGAAACTACAGCAAAAGTGATACAAGACAATTCAGTTTTGAAAATACAACCCGAATGCACTGGTTAAATCATGGTAAATCATGGCCGAGTCATTTGTATCAAAACATATCTCTTGGTTCACATATCTCTTCATTGCTGTATTAGTAATTGCCTGTTCTGCAAATGCCGAAAACGACGTCCGAACAGTATTTGCGCACCCACTTATCCAGGTGATGACCCACCTCCAGGAATTTCAGAAGTCAGGTACATTCCTAGACTTTTCTCTCGAA